ACACAATCTAAATAAATACGGTAAAAAATGTAATAGTGAAGGCATGATAGGATGCTACCGGAAACGCGAATAACTCAGGGCAGAATGGGAGATACCACAACTGTTTAGCACACGTTTGGTCAAAGGATGGGCTTCACTTGCCTCTTTGGCGAGTTGTTGTGTGGTGCTAAGAATGGCAATACCCACTGACGATGCCGACTATGATGCCGGCGAAACGTTTTGGAATGTACCACTTCCACGGTTCAAATTTGGAAATGATCATGCAGACAATGGACTCCGGACTAGGTGCGTTCCTCTAAGTCTTGGTACCAATATGACCATGTTGCGAAAACAAGGTCAAACAACCTCTTAATTGATTTATTATAATATTTTAACAAGGTGCACATCTGTTAAGTAGATCTGCTCTATTATTAAAGGAACTCATCGGGATCAACTTTTTGGTTTGATTTTTTTAGTAACTAGCCTTTTTTGGCAAGCGTGTCAATATACCTTGTTTACTTAACGTGGTTTTGTGTTGCATTTTTCTGGGACAAGCCTCCTTTTGTGTAAGAATAATTCGTACTGAGATTAATTATGAGTAAATAAAGGAGTAAACCCTCCTATCAACCGGAACATTCAAGTTCACATGATGCGGAAAAGTTATTGTCCAGAAAATATTTTCTGCCCTACCTGTTAGAGCAGTGACGGAGACGTTATATTCACTGTATAAAAAACGGATATCCAGTTTCTTGGTTTTTAGACTTATTGTCCCCGATTACCTAGTCCAGATAAAATAATCTGTATCTTTTATTTTTACACAAGGATTTAAGTGCTTTATTCTTAATTGAATAAAATAGTATCAAAAATGCAAAACTACAATTATTTCCTAGTTTATGCTGTAATTTGATTATTTTGGCAGTGCCTATTTACAATTCTCGCCCGCCTTGTTCAAGTCGAACAGTTCGAATTAAGCCTGAGTAAAGATCCCTGTCATCCAATGGATTTCAAAAAGACTAAGTTAAAATCTCCGCAAGCACGAATCCCATTATATGAGATGTATTCACCCTATTTCGGTTAAGGTAATAAAGGACTGGTAGTAGAATTTTTTCACAACGATATAAGTGGAGCTGACGTTTCCATTGAATTTCACAGGGCCTTACTTTCCCAAAAGTTGTTCTCATCCAGGGTGGACTGCAGTGTTTAATATGTCAAGCTTAAATGCCGTATTGTCACGGTTCGACTCCCGCTAGGGGTAGTAATAAGACCTAGGCGAGGTCTAAACCTCAGTCAACCCTGGATGCGAACAACTTTTGGGAAAGCAAAGCTATGCGAAATTCTATGGAAACATCAGCTCCACTCATATCGTTGTGTGAAAATTATACTACCAGTCCTTTATCACCTTAAACGAAATAGGGTGAATACATTTCATATAACTGATTTACTGGTAGTCTCGAAACTCTACTTATATACGAAAAAGAATCCCATCTGCTGCACAAACTAGTTAAAGCTCGTCTTCATACAAGTGGATGAAATAAAATTAAAATTATTCATAAAGCATTTTGTATTTCAGATGTATGTATATATATACTGATAATTTTGCATATATATATATATATATGTGCAAAAGTAAATGTTTATGTATACTCTGGAAAAAGAAATTGAAGTATTGTACATTAGTGATCAGTATAAAAAGTCATCCTTAATTGCTATAGATGGAGGTGATATAAATGATTCTGATATAGATTACTAGGATGAATACCTATTAAAGAGCTAGACAGAAGAGAGTGTAGAAGCAAATTGTATCAGGATATCGGAAAAAGATATTAAAATATTAAGGATAAAGGAAGAAAGCAGAAGGAAGTATCACCTGGATAGCTATGGAGATACATAGGAAGACGATAAGAGAGAAAGGAAACGCTTTGGGCAGTAGGTCATCTACAAGAACTGGTGAAGTTTAGACATTATTTTACGTATATCAATTTGCATAGATCTAAAGGACTGTATAGAAATAAATCAGCATTCATAAAATAGTCATGGTGATAAGAAAACTAATTTAAAGCGCCAAAAGAAATAAAAATAGACGTGGCGTATAATTATATGAATAGAAGTGGAAAGGAGAATAGACAGTTATCGTGGTTTGTGTGTGAAGTATAATTTGGAAATCAAGGAAGGCAATTCCACTGAAATCTTGGTCATATATTATGTCAGTATAAGTCGATTAGACTTTTTCATATCCTTACTAAAGGTCAGGAGCCGTCCTGCTCCTGTATTTGCAGGAGTTGAGCTCGACACTGTTCCTCCAACTAATCTAGGACCATTTACTACTTTATTTCCTCCACAGCCATTACTTGCCCCTATCAAATCAGCAGCCATAATGCCTTTCTCACTGAGTCCTCTGTCTAACGGGCGCTTTGGTGACAACCTGACGGCCGTAAGGTTTGTGGTCTGACTGATTGATTCAAGGGGGCCTGACCACTCAAGTAGCCTCAGATTCGCATCTCGTTGTCCACTTTTGGCAGCCGCCCCGCCTCCTCCGCCTTCCCTGCCTCCACCACAAAAGCGAGGAAATAGTTGGGATCCTGGTGCCCCGTTTCCATCGTGGACTCCGCTGAGTTCCGTGAATTGAGACGATGCATTTGTGGCATTGCCATCCAATCGCTGTTGGCCTACACCTCCACTTCCGGCAGCATTGCTGCTGACACCTTTTACGACCTTGTTAGCGTCGTTCGTAACCACAACAACATCCTTATCATCGAATATTATCACATGAAAAAGGCCCTCTCGCTTTCTTTGCAAGTCAATCTTGGCGAGTTTGGCAAGCTGACAACTGGCAAGTGAGCCGACTAGCGAAACGAGACATTCTGCTGCGGCAACGGTCAATGCGATCATGAGTAGACTGTCGGATTCCTGACGGCGCATGGTCTGCCCGTCCATGGTATGCACTACGAAGCCGAGTCTAAGCAGTTGAATGCTGACACCGGCTGTCAGCAAGGCGACCATTGACGCAGCGGTAAAACAGAGAATCTATAAGGCATATTTTCGTTTTAGACGAAAGTGAAACGGGCAAAACACGAAAAAGTGAAAAAAATGATTATGTTTACATAAGGGATAGCAAAAATAAAGCCTACATGGGGAAAAAAGTTTATAAAGATAGAGCATTTTCAAGGGGAACGGGAAAAATAGTTGGAGGTTTATACTAGCAAGTCAGAATTACGAAGAGGGGCATTAAACAGAATGAGATTAGAAAGATGGGCAGGAGAGTGATAAAAAACGGAAACAGAAATGAGCATAGTAAAAATAGAATGAGGCAGTTTTTTTATTACTATCAGGGGAATATATCAAAATATAAAAGCATACGTAATAGGGTTTAGAATAGACAATGGGACGTGTGAAGCTTATATATTAATAATCTTAATTATTATAATATATAAATTACTATACACTGCTATTGGGTAAAATTAATTATTATAATAATTAAGATTAGTAAAAGTTCTTTAGGTTTTAAGCTAAAAGAGAAAAATTATGGGAAAGACTCATGCAGTGTCTCATTTCGTGGTACCGTCTTTTTAAGGCTGGAGTGAACATGATTTCACATAAACGATTTATGAAAAGTATTGGATAATTGTATCCATATACCGAAGTGATCTAATTGAAGGCTAATAAACCCCGTTAAATATAGAAATGGTTTAACCTCGCTTGCAAATTCTGGTTGCGTTGTCAAAGGGATCAAGTTGAACACATCTAGTCCGGAAGCCTGTGTTATAGTAGCTAAGATTATTTCTAGGGTTTGGCTCGCTAATTAGTACATTCCTAGGCATTCCTCTGGCCCTGGCACCAAAAAAACAACTAATCAAATAGACATGCGAAATCCATTACTTGACAGTTTTCTGCTTCTTTCCTAATGAAATAATCTATTCCATATCCTCGTTTTAGCCCCCTTCATTATCACAAAGAGTACGTTGCTTATTAGCACCTATTTTAGAGGTGTGACATTTTATGCTAAGTAATTGAGGTCTCTTCACACATTCCACTTATTTACCATCATTTTTAGAATCTTTGATCTCACTTAGATACAAAAAATGATGGGTTTCAAGAACTGGCATATTTTTCATTTAGTTTGAAGAGGTTAGTTGAAGAAAATCGTAAGATGTCATTACCAGAAGCCTTATTGCCTTGGAGCTGTGACTGTAGATTTTGTGTAAAAATCCCTGACGCACCGATATGAATCGTCATGTGATGAATATTTTCAGAGCAGAATATCATGTTCCACAATAATTCCCTTGTGTTTGATGCATTATCGTAACGCATGGTTTCCTGATAATACGACCCCCGTCACATAGCGGCCAAAGTTCCTCGTAGATTCATTAAGATCGTAGAAAGGTTCGCCTAGGCCTAAGTTGTACAAACCTAATATCATGCCTCCAAGGAAATCCTTACTTGGCTTCCGGCCGTCCCGAATACTGAACCTATTCTACTCACTTCTTAGACAAAATGATAGGCATATAAACATCACTGTGAACCAGACACCTCGCTTCTTGCATGCAATCTCCCTTATCAATTACCTATCAGAGTTAACCTCGTGCTATATTCCTCGAATTCACTTTAAGCTTCATTTATGGGAGATCCCAGATCAAGAAGGTTCGGACAAACCAAACAAAATGGCATGCATACAAAGATGTTAACAGTCGCTTTTCGTTGTATAGTAGTTTTTATCTTGTTTTCGCAACTGGTCCATATTGGTAGGAAGACCTAGAGGAGGGTATATTATACAGGGACCATAGTATTCATGATAATTTCCATTTAGACTATGGACTTGGTAGATTTCCATACGTTTCACAGGCATCGTCAGTGAGCCTTGTCAATCTTAGCATAATATTACAACTGATTAAAGAGACAAGTCAAGTCGAACTCTAACACTTTCTTAGTGTCTTTTCTCCTTTCAGAGAAAAAAGTTTGCAATTATCAAGATCTAAGATTGTGTGAATTTGTTATTCATTATATGCTGGTGAGACATGCCGGTTTATCCCTCAAGGTTTAGCGGAGCTCAAAAGTTCTTGTTAAGGCATTTAGATCCAACGGCCTAAAGTATATTAACACTAGGCGTAGACTGAGTATGAGATAGAATTATCAACTAAGATACGCAAGAAAAAATAAGCTATATACAGTAAAGGGTAAGAACGGTTGATTAGCTTATTGAATGAAAGAGATAGTATGCTTAGCTCTATCGAAAAAAAGTGACTAAACCTGTAATAAAAATCACATTTATACAACAGGCCTGTA